TCTTCACTCGTGAGACTGGTAAAAGCCAGGTAGCAAAACTTGATGCGTGAGGAGCATCTGGAATATAACAAAGGTGGGAGTGCCCTGTGTGGGTAATGCAACAGTCAGCTCTTCTTGCAGGAGCTGGCACAGTGAGCAGTGGGGCTGGGAGCTGCTGCTTCCAATCTGTAACTTGTTTGTTTGGGGCTTTGGTTGGAAAAAAAAAGTCAAGGAAGTGAATGGATGGGGAGAAAGAAAATAGTTGTACTTACCTGAATCACCAGCTGAGACCCTGAACCTTTAACGTCAGATGGGTTTGTTTGCTGTTTCCATGTTTAATACATAGAGCTGTCAGCAGTTTGCTGAAGAAATCTTTTGTAATAATAAAAATACTATGTTGCTGTGAGCAGGTTACAGTTCCTCTGGGAAGCTGAGCACTTCAAGAAATACTGTGAGTGTCTGTATCATGGCAACAGAAGGATTCGACCAGAGAAGAACACGTGGCTGTAAGATGCCCACTGTCTAGGGCACATAAAATCTCCTGTAATAAATATTTCATAGCTCTGCTCTGGAATGAAGGCATCTGTGCGTGCTGTCCTGGGAAATCAGCCAGCATAACCCTCACTGCAGGAAGGGGGTCAGCAATCCAGGGTCTCCACGTGTCCAGCCTGAGGCTGGAGCTGACCTGGGGAAGCCTGCAAAGGTGTCCTGGAGCCACGCTGCTGTTCCCACTCACCTGGGTCTTCCTGTCAGGCTTCCAAAGCCTAGCAACAGATCTGGTCTGGTACAGGTGATGTTCAGTTAAGTGAGACACTGCTGCTTGTTTCTCAAGATCATAGGATGTGCCTTTATTTAGAGGCACTTCAAATAAACATCACCTGCAGGCAGGGAGAACACCTTACTGCTGAGGGGCCACAGCCAGCTGGTTCCTGCAGATCCCACAGCCCAGGCAAGCAGACCTACATCCTGGCTGGTTTCCCCTTGTGTGATCCCAAACAAGGGCAAAGCCAGCTCTAAAGACAGATTTTTCTCCTGTGCAGCATCTTGCTGCAGTAACTTTCCGTTGTATGTTAATATTTGTGTTAATTTGCATAACTTATTTGCTAATTCAGTTCATTGAAAAGTGGTGGGATGATTCAAGATGCAGAAGTTGACACGCTCTTTGAAGCTGCTCTTTTAACTGTTGTTACTGGTGGTGCTGTATTTCATCTCCTTTTCTTATATTCAGACATCATAAACTGAGGCAGGATAACATCCTGGTGTTTTAAATACAGAGGAGGATTGCTGCTTAAATTTATTTAGAACTTTTTATATTATGAGATTTCTCCAGGACCTCTTCCTGACCAAAACCCCTTGAAGCAGTTTCAGAACAGCAGCAGTCTTTCAAAGGGAAGAGTTTACTCAAGTTTCTTTTCTGGGCAGGAGCCAAGGCTTGCTGGAAGGCCACCCAGAGGTCACTTCCTAGGGCTTCCCCTGCAACTCTGCTCTGCAGTTCATCCCTTCTCAGAATCTGCTTGTTTCTCATCTCTGAGGATACTTGCCTTTCCTCCAGTCACCTGCAGCCTAGATCTAAACTGGGTTTCCAGTAGGTGCCAGTATCTGCTTCAGAGAAGAGCAGTGAGCGTGCTGTGATTGGGCTCAGAGTGCAGAGCAGAGGGCACGCTCTGCCTCAGGGCTGGCAAACACTGGCCTGGTATCAGCTGTATTTCAAGACTCTTTCAAGGGTCTTTTTGTCCTCTCCTGCTTTTTTTTGTTGTTGTTATTGAGAAGGAACATCCCAGTCCTGCACAGGGAACATCTGCAGGTTTAATTCAAGGCTTAACACCACAGCAAAGCTCAGTGTGAACTCCTCTGTTCTCCAGGGCTGGTCTTAAGGCAAGTGTGAGCTAGAAGACTAATTACAATGAATATGAGAGCAAGGAGGTGAAGCCACATATGTCCCATTTCTTAAAGGAAAATGGGCAGCTGAGCCCAGAGTTGCTGTGAGACCATATTAAAGAGGTGCTGTCTGTGTTCCCCCGTAAGAACAGGGATAAAAACTTACCTCCTTACTGTCTGAATGCATGAGGTGTGCTGTAACTGCTTCAGCAGCCTCCCTTGCAGGTGGAGTGAAGTCTGGGTGCAGCTTTGTATCTGGAGACACTCAGAGCAAGGCCTTGAGAAGAATCCTTGACAAATGTGGGTTTAACATTGCATCTGTGCAACATCCAGTGAGCTGCCCTGCACCAGCACAGTGTGCTGTGAATTAGAAATGCTTTCTGAAAGTCTGCTGACTTTGCTTTTGAGGACTGAATCTCTATATTACTTTTTTTAAAATGAAATCTACTATAATTGTCCTAGTTACAGGGGAAGTTCTGCTAAAAATGAACTATTGATTGAGGAGGAAACTTCTGAAGCTTGTCACTCCCATCCTGTGAGACCTAATTTTCACTCACATGCTTTCAGTCAGATTTAGAAGCACCTTTGGCTTTAAAAAAAAAAATCTGCTGCTCCATACCAGAATGGTGGCAGATGGTCTTTGTTTCTTAATGAACATTTTTTTTGTGTGCAATAGTTGAGGGATTTGCTTCCAGGGAAGATATGTCCCAACACCTGCTCTTAAAGCCAGCGGTAGTGTCAGCTTGCAAAACCATGGATGCATGTGGCTAAAAGATGACTTCTTGGAGATCTCTGCTGAGACTTTCACATTTCCCTTCCCCAAAGCTCTTTAAAAGTAGAAACTTAACAGAGAGAAAGATGCCAAATCCAAAGAGAAGCTAAGGGTTGTGGGGTTTTGGGGGGCCTGTGTTTGTTTTCCTAAAGGCATTAAACACCGGTTCTAACCAAAGAGCAGGTACAGGATTTGGATCCAAAAAGACTTTGGCCCTGGTTGTACACGATCCCCATCTGCTACAGCTTTCCCCAGCTAAGACCACAGGCAGGAGAGGTAAGGGAGAGGGGAACGGGATCAAACAGCATATGCTGCTGTTGGAGCAGAATAGGAAGGAAAGCTGAAGCAGCTGAGTGATTCTCTCCAGGTCCCGCAGTGCTCTGGTTTACCCTCTCTCCACCACTTAGCTCAAGAGAGAGGCTGAGTACATAAGTAACAGCTCTTGTCTGTAGAAAGCTGAGGTGTTCAGGCAGCACTTCAGCGCGAGGCACCAGCTGCTCTTCCCCGACTTATTTCTTGGAATTTGCCTCAATCTATTCATACTGTCCTGCTGCTGCAGGAGCAGATGAGGGAAGGTAAGAGGAAGAACATGTGAATGCCAAAGGAGAGCAGCATGACCCATCATTAAAAAGCCCAACACCACTGTTAGTAAAAAGACCCTTTGCTGTAGGAGAAGCTTGCCCACGCACCTGTAATGCATCCAGTGTCATCTCTGGGGTAGCAGAGCCCCAGATCCACTGCTCACACTTTAAAGCACATTTTCAGCTTTGGGGACACCATTTCAGAACCTTCTGGTCCATTTACTGCTGGTGGTACCTAGTGCTGTGCCCACTCCCAGGGCAGGCAGCGCTCAAAGCACCAGCGCAAGGTCTTCATTCAACATTTCTCAGGACCATGAGGAGCCATGAGCACACCCAGCACTGTGCAGGGCATCCTTCAGCATTAGCAGCTGCTTGCCCCTACTGAAGACACAGCAAATGCCCTGGTGAGGGACCAAACACTCTGTGAAAACAGCCAAAGTGATGTCTGACACATCTAGGAAAGTCAGGCTGAAATAGCCTGCTAGTTAACCATGGAAACTTCAGATCTGATGGAAGACAGTTGGGTCACATAATTAGAACATGGAGTTCACCACCACATCCAGCTGTTGAGTTCTAGCTTAGAGCATGATGAAGACCAGCTCCTTCCCCATTCCAGAGTGGCAGCACCACGTGAGGAACACATGGAAAGTGGTAGAAAGTCCCAGCAGGACTCACTGTGCTTCCTCTTAGCAAGGAACTGCCCCAAGACCCTCACAGGTAACAAATTACAGACCCATGCTGGGTCTCTGTGGCTCCTGCACAGCCAGGCAGGGCACAGAGCTTCACGAGCATCCTCCTTGAAACAGAACTGCCTGGTACTGCCCAGTAATATTGTTGCATTTTTCTAACACAGCCAGAAGTCACTTGCAGGCACCTTTCTATTGCAGATACTTTTCATGCTTGTACTGAAGCTGCAAAGCTAACAACACTCTGAGCTACAAAGGAGACAAGAAGAGACAGTGCTATGGAACAAGAGCCAGGACAAATAACTTGTACCATGCTGTATTCTCTACAACAAACTTTAATACTCTGGAATTACACACTGCCAGCCACAGAGCTGCTTACAGGTACCTTGGGGAAAGCTTTAAAGCAAAAGAGTTGCTATAAATCCTTTTTGTCCTGCTAGCTTGACACTCCCTCTCCCCCCAAATATTTTTGCCCCCTATTTCCTTAGAAAAGGGGTTTACACATAACATGGGAGTTACTCAGGAATCCAGGTGTGTGCAAGAGAAGAGGTCATGCACCTGTGATTATTCTTCAGGAGGGGTTCATGGTGAGGACCTCACCATGTCCTCATAGAAAAAATACCAGTACAGGGCAGTAAGGACTCCTTTAACAGGACATACACCGTCCACGGTATCTCACAAATCAGTCAGAAAATGCCCATTCTGTTTTCAGTGCCTAAATAAAAAATCTGGACAGTTGATCTGGTGGAAGCAGTCAGCAAAGTAAACAAGTTCCTTCCAGTAGCCAAAAAAGAGTGCAAAAATATCCAGTGTTCACAACCAATTTATCATTTTTCCCCCAAATCCTCTGCCCCATATCTACAAGTTCCCAAACTCTGCAGTCAGCCAGATCTGTGTCTGTGCCTTGAGGCAGAAAGGGACAGGAATTATGCCAAATTACAGAGAAACAACAAAACCCAGGAGATGTGCCGTGCTCTTCTGCATTTCCTAGGCACAGGATGGAGCCAAGCATTCGCTGAGCACCACACAGTGTGTTCCTCAAAGGTCTGGAAAAGCAATCAGGAAGATGCTGCTACACACACTGCCACCACCTCCGTGTGATACTTACAGAGCTGCAGCTTATGAGTTCAGCCAGGTGACAATGAGGGGGATGCCGAGGATGGAAACGTTGGGAACGGGGGTCCAGGCAAAGCTTTGGGCCGTGCTGGGGCTGCAGAGGTCAAACAAGCTACCTTGAAATTTGATTTTTTGAGACTCTTTTCTCAGCATCTCCCAGATGGCTGCTGCTTCCTTCTGGCACTCCCAGAGCGCTGTCAGGGCACACGTATGAAATTCATCCCAGTACCTGCAGCCAGAGGAGACACCAAACCATCAGTCCCTTTGCAGTAGCACAATGCCAAGGAACAGGGCAGAGCCCACCCTTTGAGGAGCAACAACCTCAGTATTTCATCATCCCCTCAGTCATCTCCCAGAGCATCTTGGCTAAAACTCCAAACATCAAAACACACTAAAATTATTTAACGATTCTTTTTTTTTCCCCCTCAGGAAGTCAATAAAATCCATTATTTTCCATCAACAAATGTTTCCCTTTGGCATCGAGCACCCTGAGTATCTAAAATAGGCTGCAAACAAAGGCCCAGCATGTTTCATTCATAGCTTTCTCCAAGCTGAGTAAAGGGCAAAACACAAGCACAAAGTTAGGAGGAGAACACCTCCCACAGGCAGTCACAACTTTATAACTAAGGTATTGGCAGGGGCAGGAGGAGTTACTCACTGTGTTCTCATTGACACATCTCCATTTATCTGTTGGGTGTTACCTTGTGTGAGTAGAAGCTGTTCAAGAGAAAGAGGCTCTTGGGTAGCACCAGGGAAAAACAAGACAAGCAAAAATAACTGCTGGTAACAAGCTGGGAGCTGCTTGATGAAGACCCCTTGGCTGCCTCCTTTCAGATCCAGAGCTAGAACCAGGCAGGGAAAAATTCCAGCACTCATGGAGCTAAAAACTGCAGTCCCTGAGAAGACTCTTCCAGGAGGGGCATGGTGGACATCACCCCACCATTTTGCACACTGGGGCCAGTGCCAGGCATTTATCCAGAGCAGTGTCCCTCCTGCCCAGGCTTCATCCCCTCCCTGAGCTCCTTCCTTCCCTCTGGTGAAGCAGCACAGTGGCTCTGAAGAAGCTGGGTTTGAGCTGTTTCCATTGAGCTCCCCTGAGCAGGGAGGGATGTTGTCCAGGGACCAGGACAGCAGGTAGCAGGTCAGGCCACGTCCCCCCACCCAGCATAGGAAGGGCAAGAACAGGCATCCCTGCCTGATTTTTTTTGGTTGATGAGTATCTGAGGATGGTGGGGCATTAGACTCCGTATCAGACTCCCAAAGTGCTGCTGTAGGTGCTGCCCTAAGGAAGGTGCCCACAGCCTGGCACACTAGTGTGTCCATGAGTCCCGACACAGCTGAATTCACAGGCCAGGTCTCTGGTTTGTAGGTACAAACCCACAAAATAAAACAGCAGGAACTTGAGAGTCTCAGCAAATACCATGGACCATCCTCTCCTCTGGAAACAGCTCCTCTTCAAAACAAAAACCTCCCCAAGGGACAGATAAGGCTCTATGCCACGCTTGCCACTAACCTTCCCCCCATGACTTCTTTCAAAGAGAGTTTCTTTCACCTGAAAAGAGCTTCACAAAAGCATTTTGTATTGCAGCTTCTTTGGAGCAATGCATGTCCTGGCACTTGACACAGGGGCAAGGGCAGGGACCAACCACAGCAGCACCCTCCTGGGTCCCAGCTGGCTCCCCAGCCTCTGCCAGCCCACAGCACTTCACAACCAGCACCCCGAGGCACCCTCCTGCCCTCCCCTCCACCTCAGTTTTGCTGTCCCACATCACCTGGGGCCAGGCATCACCTCCAGCCCATAATTTACCTGAAAGCTGGGGAATGAATGCCTAGAGGACAGGAGCAATTGCTCTGCCACCTTCCCTGTCCCACCAGGGCACCAGGCACACGTGGCACCCCTCAGGAAGGGGGTCTCTCCAGCCGAGCAGGGACCCCGCACACAGGAAAGGGGCAGATTGGTTTTGTCCATGTGCCTCGTGCTGGAGATGACACCTTGTGCAGACACGCAGACCTGAGCACTCTACTTACTTAGTTTTCCTACCAGGGCTTACGTCAGAACGCCAGCTGTGAGCGAGTTCATTAAACCGAGTCACTGTGGCAGAATAAATATCCCCAGATAATGAGAAAAGCTGGTGCCAGCCCAGGTAACCTCCCACGCTTGCTCCCAAGCTGCGGCAGCAGCAGCAGAAGGCAGCTCTGCCAGGCAAGGGTTAAACCTGGCCAGTGTCTTCGGGCAAAGGATGGCTGGGGAAAGGCAGAGGGGGCTGACAGCTCCTGCCTGGTTCTGCTTTGGATGGCAATTCCCAGTGTTTCACCCTTCACAGCCTCCATCTGCTCAGCCAGGCAGCTGCTGTCAAGTGACTTCCCTGGGGCAGCACTGGGCACCCAGAGCCAAGATGCCATCAGCACCGTGCCAGCTCCCAGCTCCACATCCATCCCTCACCCACACTCCCAGAGAAGGGACCACGGCACCAGGAAAGCAGATGGCAGCAGAGAAGGCTGAGGGTTCAAGGCCAATCATTCAGAAACAGTTCCTAGCAGGAAGCTGGGACATTGTCACCTTTTTCCTCCAGCCACCGCAGCCCCAGCCAGCCACGCACTGGGACTGAGAGGAGAAGCTGGCACCTCTCAAAGTGCAGAGCCCCAGCCCTGCCAGCGGGGACAAACCCAGGACCTGTTCTGTGAGGGTTAGTGACCCAGAGCCTGGAAAAAACTTCATCTCACACATTTCCTGTGAGTTTCAGCAGAGGAATCGCTCCTCCAGCAGCCAACCACGGTGTGTGCTGGGCTGTGTGCTTGGTTATTTTCTAATACCAAGAAGCCGCAAGTTCAAAAAAGTTCTCTATTACAGCCCAAAGCAGGGCAGCTCCTGTTTCAACCCAGCCTTCAGCCACATCCCAGAGAGGATTTTCATCCTGAGCTAAGCTGTCCTGTGGAGAGGGGGGAGGAAAGAGCAGGTCACAGCCAACCTCCCGCCGGCATCTTTGCTGGCAGGGGAACACATGAACAAAATAAATCAATTTAAAAAACAAATCCAGGAGAAAGGTAGCTTTTCATTCTCCTCGAGCAAAAGAGTTTTGTTGAAGTGTTTTCCAGTGTTAGCAACAACCAAAGTTAGATATTTCGGCTGGGGCAGGCAGGAGGTCTGGGGACTCCCCACTTGCCTTGACAGCAGCTCCTCATCCCAGCTTGCTGAGAGCCAGACCTGCCTCCACCAACTGCCCTGCCCTGACTACCCCTTGCCCTGACAGATGCCACCCAGCTGTGCTGGCACCAGGGAGCAGGTCCCAGAGCCTCCACCCCATCTCTAAGGGCAATGCCTTCCCCTCCAGCCCACAGAGTGGTTTTCAGCAGCTGGGACAGCCTGACCCACAGGGCACTCGGCCCTGGCAGGCTTCCCCTGCGCCAAGGCACAGGCTTCATCCCTCATTGCTGCCTCCATTTCCTTAGAACACCTTTTCACTCCTCACAACTCACTGCTGGGGACAGAGAGCTGCCTCCCTTTATCTCTGCACACATTTTATTTCCACCGTTCACTTACCCCCTACCTCACCTCTTCTGCTCCTTTGCTTTTGAAGCGGACCTTTCCCCAAACCCACCCAGCACCACTCCACACTACCCAACTCTCGTACTAATTTCTGTTCTGCTAAAGGTAACATCCTCCCAACACCATCACCTCGGGGCACTCACTACAAACTCACAGAAACCAGGAGTGGGGCAAATTCAAGCTAAAAGGATGAAGGATCTCAGTAGGGAGGGAGGGAGGGAGAAGCCTTGGTTTGGGCAGCAGGATCCAGCTGGAGCCTGGGACAGCCCAGGCACGTCTGAGTTGCTGTCTGAAAACTGGGTGTCCAGGGTAGGATTTCCTGGGGGGAAGGAGGAGTTGAGTCCCACCAGCCCCGCTCCTCTCTGCTGCAGGTGTGCAGGGGGATGAGGGACAAGTCCTGGGGGCTGGAGCTATTGCTAAGGACCAAGGATGCAAAGTCTGGAGCCACGCAGCAGGCAGATGGATGGAGGGAGCTCACCAGGTCTGTCTGAAACCAGAGCAAACCAGGGAGCATGTGTGCACACACTGGTGGGATCCAGGAGGACAGGAAAAGAGTTCAGACAACAGCACCTGGCACAGAGGCAATGCCAAAAATCCATGCTGGCCATGCACCACAGATACCCCCCAGCAACACGCAGGGGGTCCCAGCGTGGGGCTGTACTCACCCACAGACTTGGTGCAAGCCCTGCAGCTCGATGCCATTCGCCTCCTCGTACATGGCCATGTTCTCCCCCAGCTTGAGGACGCAGTCTGAGAAGCCTCTGTAGACGTTGGCGCAGGCAGTGCCTGATGCCAGCAGCCCGGCCAGGTGCCCTGCCAGCCACCAAGGGGGTGAGGGTGAGCACCCAGACCTTTGGGGATGGAGCCCACCTCCCTCCCAGGGTCACCCGGGCACAGAGACCTCCCCCTCCCACGCAGGGCACACACAAACCTCGCGCTGC